ATACATACATACATACATACATACATACATACATACATACATACATACATACATACATACATACACACCCATATACATACCTATATATAATAATACAGTATTAATAATAATAATAATAATAATAGTAATAAAATAAGTAAATAAATAAAGGAAAGAAGCTATACATTTCTTGACATTCTGATGTAATACAATGTTAAACTTTCACACTTCACTGAAGTATTAACATATTCTCCTCCTTGTTAGCAGAGTGTAGCTGGGCAGCAGCAGGAGGGTTACACAACTTTCACTGCACAGATAGATGCTCAGTACACCAGAGGCTTGTTCTGTGACATTCATATGCAGCTTTTAATGTCCTCCTCCTGTATCCCAGCTAACTGTAAAAGAACTGGTCATGATTCTCCTTCTGACAAAAATACTAAAACATGTTTTACAATGTTGTGAAGAACAACACAAACCACAGTTATATCACAGGCCCTCTCAGGGGTCATCCTGAGGTGATGTATGCACCCGATTACATTGGGAAATTCCTGAAAAGAAATAAAATAGCTAGTCCAAGTCTGACATTGCTGGACAATGTCATCAAGAGAATATAGATTCAAATGAATCTCACAGATAATTTATCTACAATCCAGTAGAACTCCTTGATGGTTTACGCCCCGGGAAATGTTAAAAACCCTTTCAAGGCCAGGCAGACCCTCCTTACTGCTCTGCATACTGTTGCCTTACTCAAAAGTTGAGCATCTTTTACGCAACAGACACAGAGGTGGAGTAAACTCTCTTTTTAAAACGTAAAACAGAATAGCTTCCGATTAGATCCCTGATCTTGCTTGCATGCAAAAAGCCATTTGGACCATTAAATGATCAACAGCCACAAGTGATTCTGACCAGATAACTCCACTGTATGAGGAGTTTCTTCTGGATTTCGACACATTGTAAAAATATCAGAGATATCATTCCCAGCCGACCCAAACGTTGCTTGTAAAATCTAAAAGCCAAAAATATCTTTGATGTGTAGCAGTCACGACTTTCCCATTATGCAAATGTTCAAAGTGGATACACATAAGATTTACATCATGATAGCAGTGGTGTCACATGAGCAAGCTTTAGTTTGTGTTTTAGTTTGTGTTTTATACCGAATGTCTTGCTTTAGAGGAGACTGGGTGGCCGGTCACCACCAGGATTGTTCATTTTAATGGGAGAGAGAGGTCTTGGCTTAGTGTATCTTTTTGATTTGTTGTCTCATTCATGCAAATCCATTTTGGTTTCACTACTTTCTACAGTAACAAAATCATACCTGCTTCCATCAAGTGCAGTGGGCCCATTTGAAGGACCTCATATAGTTTAGCTCATGTAGTAATTTACCCTATAATCACCACATTAAATGAGGTAATGTACATCATAACTCACTCCATGAAGCTTATTGAGCACAGGGCAGGACTGCTGATGGCAGCACTGTGTAAGCTGCCCTCTTCCTTCATCAGCAGGAGAAAATATCCATGAAATTCAAAATCCCTATAGACAAATCCAATTATAAAAGGGTCACAAATAGGTCTTAAAAGTGCAGAGAAACAGAAAAGAACCTCCACATCTAAATATCTAAAACTATTCAGAAATGTTGTTATTCAGCCATAAAGACCTTTTAAAGCAATAATATAATATTTATAGTATACAGAGCTTCATCTTCCTGTGTTTAGTTCAAACTATACAATATAAAATATATTTTTTTATGAATTAGAGCAATTGTCTTTTTGGTGGGCATTGAGCAACATTTGGAGAGATGCTGCAACAAGACATGGTAAAAAATGTCCTCCTAGCCAGAGTTGAACTAAGGATACCTGTTATTACGCTGTTCTAAAAACTGACCATCAAAGGAATCCATTCATTGGAACCTCTCATCAGACTATGCCATAGACTTCCGCACCAAGGACCCCATGTGTGAATGGAACCCGTCCCCTCTCCATTATGTCTTTATGCGGGGGCTGGCTGGGTACATTAAAGATGAACTCGTAGCTTATGAACTGCCGTCTACACTGGAGGGTCTCGCTACCCGTCTCGACCTGTGCATCCAGGCTTGCAGGAGGGAGAGACGCTCAGAGTTCCAGTCACGTCCTGCCCGGCCACACAGTTCCCCTCACTTCAAGTCTCCAGTAACTCCTGCCTTCTCCTTGTTTGCCTCAACCGCTCCTGTAAGTGTGGAAGATCCCAAGCCTATGCTGCTGGGTCGCACCCGCCTCTCACCTGACGAGAGGGAGAGAAGGCGGAGCCAGAATCTTTGTATGTACTGCGGCCAGCCAGGACACTTTGTCAGCCAATGTCCAGTAAAAGCCAGAGCTCACCAGTGAATGGAGGCATACTGGTGAGCTCCATCGTTGGCCCTGCCTCTTCTAAAAGACCTCGCCTTACCGGTGAATTCCTGCTGCCTTCTGGCTCCCACTCCATCGCCGTCCTTGGTGATTCAGGGGCCGACGAGAGCATTATGGACCAGGCTCTTGCTCTCCGGCTTGGACTCAGCCCTGAGAGACTATCATTGCCCATCTCTGCCATCGCCCTGGATGGACATGTGCTCGGGAGGGTTACATCTAAAACCAACACTGTGCGCATGCTACTGCCGGGGGGCCACAGTGCCACCTCGCTGCCCCTATGACTGTGCCATAGACCTACTCCCGGGCACTTTGACTCACAAAGGACGCTTGTACTCTCTCTGCCCCTGAGAGAAAGGACAAATAGGAGTACATACAAGACTCCTTGGTGGCAGAGATCATCCGTCCTTCCTCTTCACCTGCTGGTGCAGGGTTTTTCTTTGTGGATAAGAAGGACAAGTCTCTGCGGCCCTGTATAGACTATCGTGTTCTTAATGATATTCCAGTTAAGAACCGCTACCCCCTTCCACTCCTCTCCACAGCCTGTTCCAGGGAGCAACAGTATTCTCCAAGCTCGACTTGAGGAATGCTTATCATCTGGTTCGCATCTGGGAGGGAGATGAGTGGAAGACGGCCTTCAACACACCAACAGGACATTATGAATATCTGGTGATGCCGTTTGGTTTGACCAATGTCCAGGCTATCTTCCAAACTTTGATCAATGACCTGCTCCGGGATATGCTGAACAATTTTTTCTTTGTTTACCTCGATAAAATCCTGATTTTTTTCTCGTAACCACGAGGATCATGTCACTCCCTTCAGATCTGTCCTCCGCCGCCTCCTGGACAGTTCCCTGTATGTCAAGGCAGAGGAATGTGAATTTCATGAACCCTCAGTCTCCTTCCTGGGATACATCATTGCCAAAGACAGCTTGCAGATGGATCCAGCTAAGGTCTCAGCAGTGACTTCCTGGCCCGTCCCGGAGACACACAAGCACCTGCAGCGTTTCCTGGGGTTTGCCAATTTCTACCAGTGTTTCATCAGAGGTTTCAGCTCCATTGCCTCTCCCCTCTTGGCCCTCACTTCATCCAAGACAACCTTCCGCTGGACTGACAAAGCACAAGGCACCTTCAACACCCTCAAGACTCGCTTCTCCACTACTCCCATCCTCCAGATCCCCGAACCTTCATTGTGGAGGTGGACTTATCCGGCATGGGGGTAGGGGCGGTTCTGTCTCAGCGCTCCTCCATCGACCAGAGGATCCACCCCTTTGCTTTTTTCTCTCACCGCCTACTCCCACACAAAGGAACTACGATATTGGTAACAGGGAGCTTCAGGCAGTGAACCTGGCCTTGGAGGAGCGGCGCCACTGGCTAGAGGGAGCCAAGGTGCCATTCATTGTGTGGACTGATCATCGCAACCTGAAATATATTCGATCTGCCAAGAGACTAAATTCCAGACAGGCCCGCTGGTTCTTTGACAGGTTCAACTTCACACTGCCCTGACCGCTTGTTTTTTTCCGCCTCAGCTTCGCTCCAATGTGCTCCAGTGGGGGCATGCTTCCCGGCTGACCTGCTACCCTGGCATTCAGTGGACCTGAGACTTCCTGCAGCAGCGCTTCTGGTGGTCATCACTGGGGGAGGATGTCCAAGGCCATGTCAACGCCTGTCCTGTGGGCAACCAGAACATGACCCCTCGTCGTCTACCAGCTGGCTCCCTGCACCCATTGCCTGTTCCTCATTGCCCGCGGTCACGCATCTCCCTGGACTTTGTGACTGGCCTACCTACATCCAAAGGCCACACTGCCATCTTCACAGTTGTCGACCGTTTTAGCAAGATTGTCCAATTCATTCCACTTTCCAAGATTCCCTCTGCCAAAGAGACAGCTGAACTGGTTCTCCAGAACATCTTTCGTCTCCATGGACTGCCCACTGCCATTGTCTCTGACCGGGGTCCCCAGTTCACATCTATGTTCCGGAAGGAGTTTTGCAGTCTAGTTGGGGCCTCCGTCTGTCTGGCTTCTGGCTTCCACCCCCAGTCCAATGGGCAGACTGAGAGAATGAACCAGGACCTGGAGACCACTCTTCGCTGCTTGATCAACCACAACCCTGCTCCCGGCTCTGAACAACTGGTCTGGGTATAGAATATGCACACAAAAGCCTCACCTGCTCTTCCACTGGACTTTCACCCTTCCAGTGAGCCTATGAGTATCAGCCCCCACTATTTGCCAATCAAGAGAGGGAGGCTGCCCGCCCATCGGCACAAGCCTTCGTTCACCGTTGCTGGCGTACCTGGGACCAGGCACGTACTGCTCTCCTCAAGTCTATTGACCGCTATGCTGCCGCCGCCAACAAGCACCGCAAGCCTGTTCCTGCCGATCAGGTTGGCCAGAGGGTCTGGCTCTCCGCCCGTGACCTGCCCTTTAAGATGGAGCTGGCTCCCATGTTTGTTGGGCCCTTTCCCATCGCTCACATCATCAACCCAGAGGCGGTACGTCTTTGACTGCCCCGGTCCATAGGGATCCAAATTAAGCTCTCTGTAGATTCACTGTTCTGCCCCACTCCTTTTCATTTGTACCTTTTCTCTTCATTAAAGGTATTTAATGAGGTTTTTGTGTAATTCACGCCTTTTGTGACATTTCGAAAATAAAAACTAGCAGAGGATGGTTTGGATCCATCTGCCTCTGGGTTATGGGCCCAGCAGATTTCCTCGGCCTCACTCTGCTTTGCATGCTGGGTGTCTTAAAAAGTTCACTGTGTTTAAAAAAACATCCTCATCAGAATAATGTTGTGGTGTTGTTGGTGCTGACCTCTGACAGTGACTTTTAGGGAACCACTGAGCTCATACAGTGGTTTTAGTGGTTTGAATGAAACCATTTTCGGGAGAGATCAGGGTGATAATGTTTCATTCAGAACCTGTCTGTATGCTGTGGACTGAGCAACATTTGGATAGATGCTGGAAGACTAATAGAAAAGCTTCCCTCAAGCCTGAGCTGAACCAGCAACCCACATGTATCAGTTATTGAACATCTACAATCCTCTTCTCTACCAGCTGAGCTATCAAAGGGATGCATTCACTTGGTTCTCTCCTTAGACCAATGCATGGACTGAGCATGAGGTCAGTGTTGAGAAGACTCCAAAACCTACCAGTGACCTCTGTGGATCTGTCAGGTCTTTTAATGCAGAGCTTTGTTTGACTTTAATGGAGCAGTGTAAGTATTTTGTCCAGAGCTACAGTTAAGAAGAGCAGAAGAATGAAACTGTGGGGCATCTCTTAAACTGCTGTTTGAAGTCTTTCTTTAATGAGATAAAGATGTGAATACAATAACAAACAGCACTGAACCTATAAATTTAGTTAATAGAATAAAAAAGTAGCTATCAGACTAAATTATTGGATTATTTATCAGTGTCTCATGTTTACCTGCGGTGGGAGGTAGCAGGATGAACGCCCACAAGCATTTATCATTTATGTTCTTGGTGATAATTCAGCAACAGATCCAGATAAAATCTCTGGTTATCTTTGGTTGGACTGAAATAAAAAGACATCAATCCTTCCTTGGGCTCATGACTACAGGTCTGCAGCTCTGTTGGTGTTAATCCTCCTCAGGGTGGAGCTCACTTGGTGTAGCTGGAGGACCAGAGGTGGTGCTCCTCCTCCAGCTGCTGCAGATCTTCGGTCTCTCTGCTGCTGGATGAGTCAAACAAACTGTTCAAGGTGTCAGGGAGAGCTGCTGCTGGCTAACCTGCTGGTTACTGTGCTTCCAGTCTTTATGCTTCTTACCAGTCTCTATGTATCAATAATTCCTCACTTCTGGCATCGATAAAGTCCATCTGATCTTATTTTTTGTATAGGGAACATGCTACCAGGTTAGATCAAAGCTACCAATGATCTCATCTTAGTCTGTGATGGTTAACTTGTGTCTGCGCTGATCTTGTTGGATCTCGTTGGTGCATCTGAAACAATGCCTTCACACCCAATTCCGCAAGGACAGAAGGACAACCAAAACAACAACAAAACCGACATTTTAAGCCTACAAAGTTCCAAAATGGACAACAGGAAGCAGCACAAAGTGACAAAGCATATTGGCCCTGTGCACAACTTGGCCAGAGATAGAAAATAAGTCAGAAATTATATCATGTAGCAGCAACCCTGACATCTGTGGGTTGTTTTTACCCACCATTCAAGATGGTGGGGTCTGAAATTAGGACCTCCCTTACTTAAAACAAGGATCATGTCCCCAGACCAAAATGCCCCATTCATATCAATGCAGAAATCATCAAATGCTCAAACTAGTGGTGAACATAGACAGCAGTTTGATTTCTGTGAATCTGTGTTGAGTTTAACCTTGACACGGCTGGTTTTCAGTTCAGCAATAGTGTCTAACCAGACCTAGAAAGAATAATCCATGCGTTTGTCTCGAGCAGGTTGGACTACTGTAATGGCCTGCACACTGGGCTCTCTAAACGAGCTGTACAACAGCTGCAGAAAATCCAGAATGCTGCTGCTAGAGTTCTGACCAGAACCAGGAAATACGACCATATCAGTCCAGTGCTGAGGTCTCTCCACTGGCTTCCTGTCACTTAAAGAATAGACTTTACAAAAGCTCTGCTTGTGTAAGAGTCTCTTCAAGGGCAAGCACCGAAATACCTTTCTGACATGTTAGAGCCATATGAACCAGCTTGGACTTTGAGAACCTCAGGTTCTGGCCTCCTGATGGTGCCCAGAGTCAATTCACTGTCAAAATGAACAATTAGATGTGTAAAAATATTTACCCTGAAGTTTGTTCACACTGCTCAGAGTAATATGATTACACTTTAGTTCGTAACATGACACTCTAATAAGTAATAATATTTCATTTAATTTTTTTACAATGTTAATTTAATTATTTTGGTTATATGTGGTATACTACTGAACTGCTTTGATTTAAATAATCAATCAATAATCAATGACACAGAAGCAAAACATAAACAAGGTCACAACTTGCTTTACTGCTCACGGGAAAAAGCAACATGGAAATGCAAAGAGAGCAGTGTCATTCACTCCAGAAGACATCTGGATGTCAAAAGGCAAGGTAAAAGGTAGCTTGTCAACTTGTAAGACAACAAAATCTTGCTTTCTCCTTGTTACTTTACTTTAATCATTTTCTTCTAGGATTATTAAAGTATTTCTGATTCTGATTCATAAGCATGGAAATGTTCTTGAAAACATCCAGTAAATAAAGTCAAAGTGAGCAGCAACAGTTTTTCATGAAGCATCAGGACAGACTCAATCTGGTAAAAGAGAGGCCTTTCACATTCAGCTGAACCACAAATAACCAGATGTTGGAGGTATACAAAACCATTGTGTTTAGCCCTGTTCACTTTGAGAAGCTGAACACTGAAGGACACTTGCATTGCCTTAACAGTATCAGAACCATATGATGCTGGTGTGTTTTGGCCAGGTATGACAGTGGCAGGTGTGGCAGTGGTAGGTGTTAATGTAGCAATTTTACAGTGTCAGATATAACAGTGGAAGAAATAACAGTGACAGGTGTGGAAGCTGCAGGTGTGACACTTCAAGGAGTGGCAGTGGAAGGTCTAACAGTGGCTTTTCCTGTCTGCCTCTGAATTGTAGACCAGTGTCACCAGAACCAGAGAGCTGCTCCTCTGGGCCGCCACATGAACGGCCCCAGAGGCTTAAAGCCAGGCAGCTGCCTGCTCTGGTTCTGCTTCCCCGGTTCTACTGCCACAGTTCTGCTGTTCCAGTTCTGCTTCCCCGGTTCTATTACCCTGGTTCTGCTTCCGCGGTCCTGCTGTTCTGGTTCTACTGCTCCGTTTCTGTTTCCCCGGTTCTGCTACTCCGGTTCTGCTGCCCTGTTTTGCTGCTTCGATTATGCTGTGCCAGTTCTGCGGCTCCGGTTCCGCTTCCCTAGTTCTGCTTCCTCTGTTCTGTTCCCTCGGTTCTGCAGACCCGGTTCTGCTGCCCTGGTTAGAGAGGTCCATCCTGATGTCCTGCTGGTGGGCACTGCTGTGCCGCCGGAGGACCTGAAACACAGGGCAGCTCTACTGGGTCATCCGCATCCACTGGGACTGTGGGGCTCGACTGGCTCTACTGGGATTATGGGGCTCGACAGGCTCTACTGGGACTGTGGGGCTCTATTGGGGCTGTGGGGCTCGACTGGCTCTACTGGGACTGTGGGGCTTTACTGGTTCTACTGGGACTGTGGGGCTCTACTGGGACTGTGGGGTTATACTGGGACTGTGGGGCTCTATTGGGACTTTCTGGCTCCACTGGGACTGTGGGGCTCTACTGGCTCTACTGGGACCGTGCGGCTTCTACTGGCTCTACTGGGACTGTGGGGCTCAACTGGCTCTACTGGGACTGTGGGCCTCTACTGGCTCTACTCGGACTGTGGGGCTCTATTGGGGCTGTGGGGCTTGACTGGCTCTACTGGGATTGTGGGGCTCGACTGGCTCCAATGGGATTGTGAGGCTCTATTGGTTCTACTGGAACTGTGGGGCTCTACTGGGGCTGTGGGGCTCTACTTGGGCTGTGGGGCTCTACTGGTTCTACTGGTTAAACTGGGACTTTCTGGCTCTAGTGGGACTGTGGGGCTCTACTGGTACAACTGGGATTTTCTGGATCCACTGGGACTGTGGGGCTCTACTGTCTCTACTGGGACCGTGGGGCTCTACTGGCTCTATTAGGTCTACTGGCTCTACAGGGATTGTGGGGCTCTCCTGGTTTTAGTGGGACTTTGGGCCTCTACAGGCTCTACTGGGACCATGGAGCCCTTGTGGGTCTCCTGGTGCTACTGGTTCAACTGGGTCTAGTTACCTTGTATATTGTGCAGACAGCAGACAGGAAAACCAGCAGAAACAGCAGCCTGATTCCAAAAGCAGTCGGATCTGATGGGGAAAGAGCACAGGAACATAACACCTTCATGATCCCCCCATGTCCACCCCATGAACCCCCCATGTCCCCCGTGCTGACCCCCCATTCACCTGAGACAGACAGAGACATCTGGGGGCTCTGGGAAGAGAAGTTCCTGGAGAACATGTGCAGCCAATAGGCACATCGGTAGCTGCCCTGGTGGTCGGGCTCTGCGGCTGCAAACAGGAAGTGCGCAGAGTGATTGGCAGCCGACTGGCTGAGGAGACGGGTGGCGCTGGGGGAGCTGAAGCTGAGATGGAAGGAGCCCCCGGGGTACTGCGGCTGGATAGAGCAGCTGATGGAGAAGCTGGAGCCCAGCAACACCGCTGCCGCCCCCTGCTGGGGGGGCCAGTACACGCCTGACTCAGAGGACACCCAGATGACCGGCTCCACCAGCAGGTCTGTGAGCAGAGAGCTGATTGGCTGCTGGAACGGGAACAGAACCGCCCCCAAGAGCCGGCTGAGGCTCACCTGAGCAGACCAGTCTGACGGTGCTGGAGGACCGGGATGGGGAGGCACACTCCCTCAGGGAGGACCCCGACCTAGCACAGCCGGCCCTCAGGCCCCACGCAGGCCTGTCTGGACCTGGCTTCCCGCTCCCAGACACAGCAGAACCGCAGTCCAGCTGCCTGCAGGCGGCGGCCACCTCCGCTTGCGTCCAGTCGGTCCCGGCCACGGGCCGCCAGGCACCCTGTTTCAGCTGTAGGGTCCCATCACAGCGGCTTGGGCCCCCCCACCAGTCGAACCGGCTCTGAGAGGAGGGCAGAGTCAGCAGGACCAGGAAAAGGACCGGTACAGAACTACAGCCAGAACCAGAAAGAGAGACAGAACCAGAACATGTCCAGAGACAGAGACAGACACAGAACCATAACAAGAGACAGAGACAGAGATAGAACCAGAACCAGAATGGAACCAGGCGGCCCCCGGCTGCAGCTCTCCTACCTGAGCAGGTGAGTCCAGCAGCTCTTCCAGCTGAGCAGCTGCCTCCGGCTGAGCTTCTACAGTCCCGTAGAGCAGACTCATGGCCTCCACACTGGAACTCTCTGCTCCACATTGGAGTCTCCACCCCCACAGAGAGTGTCCCCTGGAGGCCAGAAGGAGGCCCACAGCCCAGCTGCCTGCAGACCACCTCTGCATCCTGCTGGTCAAAGGCAGCTTCACACACTGAGGACCAGGTCTGCTCAGACTGGTTCTTCACCTCCAGCCTGCCTGAACACAGACTGCTTCCAGCCACCAGCCGCACAGACTCTGGAAAACAGGGGGGGGGCACTGTCAACACTCTAACACCTCCCCAGACACGGTTTGACTATGTCAGAAAGACTTCACAGCAGAAACATGTTCCCAATTCTGCATTTGAAATATGTTTTTGCTTTGTTAAATAACTAGTCTTTGCTAAGTTGGTTTAACTTTAGATGTAAAATGTCTGTTTACAGATTGAATTAAATGTTTTCTCTGCTATTTGGTTCTGAAGGTCCAAATGACTTATTTGCAGCATTTTAATTCCACAATAAAAAAATGATTGGTGTAAAATGTTTAAAAGCATTTCTTTTAGATTTCAAACAGTAAAAAAACACTAAAAGCTGAGATTTCTGAGCCCTTTGAACACAGCAATGATTTACGTTAATCTAAAGTTCTAAAATGCAGATTTTTCATGATTTTCCTTCACCTAAAGACCTGAAAAGCTGATTTTTCCTAATTTTCCTTCATCTAAAGACCTAAAAAAAAAGCAGATTTCTC